CGCCGCGGCCGCGCGCCGGGCGGCCGCCGCCTCCGCCGCCGCCTCAGCCGCTGCCGCCGCCGCGCCCGCCGCGACGGTCTCCTGCAGCAGCGCCGCCTCCTCGCGCAGCCGCGCCGCCTGCAGCGCGTGCAGCTGCTTGAACACGCTGTACGCGGGCTTGCGGCGCACGCGCACCTCGACGCCGCGTGCATGGCTCTGCAGGTAGCCGTCGCTGGCCAGCAGCGCCTCCAGGTCTGCCCGACCCGTGGCAAAGGCGCGCTGGTACGTGGCCATCTGCTTGTCCTGCCAGTTTTTGATGTGCTGGTACACCTCGGGCTGGGTGTACCTGGCGCCGCAGAGGAGCGCGGCGCGGGGGCAAAGGGCAGGGGGAGGGGCGATTCGACGCAGGGCTGCGGCCTGCAGTGAGTGCGGCGGCGCGGTGTCCAGTACCCCCTCTCCCCCCAGCGTGGCCTCCCCTGGGGTCACGCATCACAGGCCACCGCACCACCAAGACCAACCACCTAATCCACGGGCAAGCCACACGTGCGTACGGCGCGCGCACACACACACACACACACACATGGGGCGCCACACACGCTCACACACACTCACACAATGCACACCGCACGCAGGGCAGTGAACCACACGCGCAAGCGCGCGGCCCCCCACCTCAGCGCCAGGTCCTCCAGCTCCTCCTTGATGCAGTACACTCCCAGGAGCTTGGCCAGGGGGGCAAACACCTGTCACGCAGCGACGCGTTCCCAGCCGCGGCGCCCGCGGCGGTGAAGACACTCCAATCAGCGATCTATAAAACAACGGTGGCTGCCGCCCGCCCACTGCTATCCGAGCCACAAGCATGCGTGCCAGCATCGGTCCCTGTAGAGACCAGCAGCGGCCGCGGGCGGCATGACGGCGCCTGTCGAGGCCAACGCCGTGCGGCTGCAGCGTTTGGCGTGCCCGCGTGGGCGCACCTGCAGCGTCTCCTGGCTAATCTTGACCTGCTTCGCAGCCGACATGCCGTAGAGCGTGCGCATGTTGTGCAGCCTGTCGGCCAGCTTGACCAGGATGATGCGCACGTCCTCCGTCATGGCCATGAAAAGGCCCTGGAGGTCGCGCGCCTTGTCATCAGAGTAGTCGTCTGCTGGGACGGCGCGGCGGGGCGGCGCTCCAGCATTGGCGCAAGCACCCAGTGGAGGCAGCGGGCGAAGGGTCCGGAGAGCGCCTAGAAGCTTGCGCACCGACAGAGGGCCGCCGCGCTGGAACGCGCGCCGTGCCGGCTGCTCACCCGCGCCGGCCGCCCATCCGCGCCGGCCGCGCACCCGCGCCGGCGCAGCATGCCTGCGCCTCGACCCAGGGCTCTTCCCTCACCTCCAGACTGGTTGACCTTGGTGATCTTCGAGATCTTGGTCTCCCCCTCTACGATGCGCCGCACCGCCGTCCCGAACCGCCGCTCGATGTCATCGAAGCACACCGCGTCGGTGTCCTCGACGGTGTCGTGCAGCAGCCCCGCCACCAGGCTCTCCGCGTCCATGCGCATCTCCGCCAGGATGCGCGTCACCTGCTCGGCGCGCGGCGCGGGCGCACGCGGGACGCGGGCGCGCGCGTGATCGCCCGCCTGGCGGGTGCACGCGCCCGTTGCACCTGCGCGGATGCGGAAAGCTCCGAGCCCGCCACTGCTGCTGCACGGCACCAAAGCCATGCACCGCCCCGCCCAGCGACCCCACTCCAGCGGGCGCCGGAGCTCGGGCGGCCGGCGCCCTCAGTGCCCAGCGTCCCCGCCACCCCAGGGCGCAGGGCTGCAGCCCCAAGCACGGCGCCCGAGCGCGCCCCACCCGCCGCCCAGCCTGTCCCCCGCTCCCCCGTCGCCCCGCCCGCCGCGCACCTCGACGGGATGCGTCACAAACGGCTCCCCGCTCTTGCGGTTCTGGCCCGAGTGCGCGCGCACCGCCAGCTCGAGCCCCTCGTGCACCATGCGGCGCTCCTCGTCGCGCAGGTACCAGAGCAGCGGCTCCAGCCGCTCCCGCCATAGGTAGTCCGCGCTGATGCTGGCCGGCGGGCGCGTCTCGTACATTTCCTGCACAGGGGCGCGGCCGCGCGGGCTCGGCACGGGGCGGCTGCTGCATGCGCGAGGGCTGGAGCGCGGGCGCAGCGGCGCAGCGCGCAGCAGCGCAAGATGCGAATGCTCTACGTCCGGCAGCAAAGCAACGGTATGGGGCTTACCTTGTAGTCGACCTCTTCCAACAACCTTATTGCAATTGGCAGGACCGTGGATGCCTGCATGTGGAGGCAGTGCACGGGTGAGATCGAAGGCCGCCCCTGCAGGTGTGTAGCATGCCCACGGGGACATACCTGCTGAGCCTGCATCACGATCCGCATTCTGGAGCGTCTGAACGTAATGTATGGGCTCCTCGTGCCATTCCTGCCACGAGAGCGGTCAGGCCGAGCCCCAGCAGCATAGCGGCGTCCTGCGGACGTTCAGGAGGGCCAGGTGAGGCAACTACGCGCTTGATCGCGTCCATTCTTCCACATACATGCCACAACCAGCGTCCCATTGCAACCCACCGCTGCTGCTCGCGGTGTGGTGCGACAAAAGCCTCTCCTGAAGCCCGCTCATGCCGCCTGACACCGCCGCGAGGCACGGTGACCACAGAGGCCACGGTCAGGCGTGGCCTCGCATGGGGGGCCTGCTGTTTATGCCCTGTTTTGCTGTGCTGCCGTGGCACCTCGCAGCTGGCTGCAGGTGACACTCAAACTGCCACGAGTATTCACTATTAAGCAGCTGGAAGCTCGGTCATGGACAAGGACGAGACCTGAATGAGATCGTTTGTGTCGAACGTGACGATGTAGCATTTACAGGCGATGCGTGGGGATGACAAAGACACGCAGGGGCTTGACGAGCAAGGGCTGGCTGGGGCGATCGAACATCAAGGGCGAAAGTCACTGGCAGGGTGCCCTGGCAGCCAGAGGAGAGCACTCCCTGAGCACGCCTGAGCACCACTGCCTGCCGTGTCTGCCGTGCTGGGCATGCGGCTTTGGTGTCAGTGCCGCCAAGAATTCGATCAATGCTGTCAGCTTGTGCATGAACAGGCCATCCCTGCTGCACCTCCACGGTGGTTGGGGGGCGACTCATCTACAGCAGCATGTGGCCGAGGGGCCACATACTGACGGTGGTTCACGTGCACCCCTGCTTTAAGAACGGCCACAACGGCCTGTGCGCTGTATACAGTCACTACATAAGGATCTTTCGGTCTTGAATGCTCTGTCGCCGGCTCATGGCTTGATACAAGCCGGGCACTAAGCATTCGTTCGTGCGTGCAGCTGGCAGTGAATAAATGCAGGGTCGGTGGGGAGAGCCAGGCCCCACAGGGCAATGGTCGTTAGAACTGAAAAATCTCATGGTCTTGGCCAAAAATGGTTCGCACTGTAGGCACGGGATGGGGTCACGGGCTTGCACGGCATCGCCACCACTTGGACATGCACTACCCCTCATGCCTCAGGCTAGCAGCCAACGAGGGCAGCCCAGCTGCGGTAGGGGTGCTGAGACAAGTGCAGAGAAAGGCCACCCACGTGTGCCACAGGCACAGGCACATGAAAAAGCACGCGACGCTCGGCCAGGTTGTGTGCGAAGGACAATGACCAGTCAGCACGGCAACCAGCGCTCTGACATGCAAGAACAGGCACACTGATATTCCACCTCCAAACCCACCCAGGCCCCACCCGCGCAATCGCTGAGCCTGAAATCGCACGCCTCCTGGATCGGCACGCCCGCCGCGGCGAAGCCAGACCCTGCCGCCCCCTCTACCGAGGCAGCGAGTACAGCACTATGCCGCCCATCGCCAGCGCGAGGCCGCCCAGCTTGGAGGCGTTCGCCGCGTCCCCGAAGAACGCGACGCCGCCCGCCATGATGAGGACTGTCTTGAGGTGCGACGCCACGTTGTATGTGAGGGCCGAGGTGGAGCCGATTACCAGGAAGGCGGACAGGCTCACCAGCAGCCTGGGGGGCGGGGGCAGGGGCGCGCACGCAGCGCAGGAAAAAGGTGGACCTGGCGGCCATGTACGACGCTGCAGCTGCCCAGGGGGCAAACCGGGGTCGAACCGGGACTGTGCTGCGGCAAGGGCTGGCAAATCTGCAACTCCCACATTCCTCAATGCTGAGTGGCCATACCACCTTTGCATTTTCGACCCTCTGCCCAATTTGGCGACCGCCCCGCAGGCTCACCCCAACCCGGCGCTGCCCAGGATCGCCACAATTGCCGCCACAGTAAATCTGTATCCGAGGAGCGTGCCGGGCCCGCCCCAGGCGCCACCAATAAGCGGGCAGGCCAGGCCCAGGGGCTCCATCAGTGGCACCAGCCCCGCCAACATGACGGCTGCGGCCGGCATTGATTGGTGCAGCAGCTGCGTGGCAGGACGGGGTGAGTGGCGGGGTGGGGCAGGTGGCGTAGCGAGGCGGGCCGATCGGCGGAATGAGAGGGGGCTCCGGCGAATCGCCACCTGCAACCGACCTGCGCACAGCTGGCCGCCCATCCTTTGCGGGTCGTGCCCTGACCGCACAGCCATCGATGCGGCCAGCCCCACGTCCGGCCCTCCACCACGCCCCCCCCCCGGGCTGCACGCCGCTCGAGACGCAGCGCCTGGGAGGCGGCAGGGCGCCTGGCAGCACCCACCTGCGATGCGTCCAGCCCCAGCTCCTGCTGCTTTTTGCTGGCTAGCACCTGGTACAGCGCAGACACGAGGGTCGACGCGAGGCCCACCGCCGCACCCAGTGGGTTGGACAACACCTGCCGCGTCAAGGGTGGCCCGGGCGGTCGCAGACGTGAGGCCCCGCGTGTTGGGTGTCGACCAGCCGGCTGATGCAGGTTGATCAAACAGGCGTGCACCAAGCAGGCGCTGCCGAGCAGCTCCATTGCTGAAGTCCGCCAGCCGAGGAAGCTGTATGTGATGTAGGGGCAGGGCCGGTCGGTGGGGCCGCGCGGCGGGGCGCCGCCGGGCTCTTGCGCGCCTGCTTATCCAGCAGGGTGGCTATGGAGATGCCTGTGAGGAGCAGCCCTGTCGACAGCAGCGCGGCGCGGCCGGGGTGCTTGCCCAGCCACAGGAACTCGACGGCCAGCAGGGTGGGCGTGATGAGCACCTTGCAGACCTGGTGAAAGGAATGGGAGGGCGTAGTATGTCACGTGCAGGGTCACCCTGGTGTTGCACCGCTGGGGGAAAGTATGGCGCACAGGCAATCATTTTGCATCTGGCCTAAAGTCGCTGCTGCGCAGCACTTGCCCTGCCCCCTGGCCACAGGCCCGCCGACCCCGGATGAACGCAATGAGAGGTCTCTGGCTGATCAGGCAGGAGGAGCCAGGTTGAGGACTAGACGCGCTGCAGTCCAACAGCCCACCTGATAGAATCCAACCTGCGGCGGTGCGCGCAGGCGTGGGGGATGGGGCAGGTAGATGGATGGTGGCGCCAAAAGGCAAAGGGGTGTGCAGCAGGGTTCCCTATTCCATCCGATGCGGGCCATCCTCAAACACTACTGCATTAGCAAGCGCCAACGCACTGGTCAACAACGGTCAAACCCCGGCCGCATTGGCGCCTCTCATGCGCACCGTGTTGAAGCTGATGCTCATGTTGGAGAAGACGATCGACCCCACATAGGCCAGCGCCACCGGCAGCGTGTGGCGCGCAGGCGCCGCCTTGCGAGCAAACAGCCCCGTACGGCACATCAGCTCCATGCCAAGCGCCGTGAACAGGGCGTGGACCAGGGTCAGGGCGACGGGATAGGCGAATCCAAACGTGGAGAGGACGAGCTTGTTGGCAAAGACGATGCCGCAGGTCGAGGCGATGTTGAGCAGAACGTACAGCGCTGCCAGCCACCTGGGCGCGCCACCCGTGCCGCCGGCAGCGCCTGCGCCGCGGCGCGCCCGCCGCCTCGGCGCGTCGCGCTCCGAGTCTTCCTCCTTGCCCAGCGGGGCGCTTGGTTTGGAGACAAGCGGCAGGAGGAGCGCGGCGGCGGAGCCCTGGAGGGTGAGAGCGGGTGGCTGTTGGTCGGCGTCAGCTTGGGCGTCGACAACTGGCAGAGCCACGTGCGGGCTCTTGGAGGGGCGGGCCTTGGTGCTGGCGGCGTAACTTAGCATCTTCAGCTCGGAGGCACTGGGTCGGTCCAAGGGGGAATGGAAGCCGGGAAGTGAACGGGCGGCTGGAGGGGTCCCAGCACATGACGTCATCGATGGCCGCCCAGGGGAGCGGCTGAGCACGATGTGTGGCAAGCCAGCAGTCGCCCACCCGTGAAATCTGTCCCTGTCTGCCGTAAGCATTATACATCAAGTTTGCTGCCGGCCGCCACAAACACCACATAGAGGCACCCACCTGTCAAAGCTGTGAGTCAGCGGAGAGGCCGGCGGCGCTACGGGCCCCTCCCAGAGCGGTGGCGACGCTGAAAGCGCCACCTGCGTGTCCAGCTGCCAATTGTCGCTGCTGCTGGTGCTGCCACTGCTGTCACTGTCTGCGCTGCTGCCTGGCCCGCCGCCGGCGTCGCAGTCGCTGCTGTTTGCGTGCCGGTTGCTCGGTCCAGTAGAGAGTGCAAACCAGTGGTCTCCCATGCCGGCGAAGACCGAACGCCGCATACAATGGGTTTTGGTGGATGTGAGAGCCTTATGTTGTGTCGTGGGGGCGGATGAGAGGCCTCCTGGCTCAAAAGACGCGGACGAGGGCTGATTTCGAGGCACGAGGGAATTCGAGACAGCTGCTCGGGGTGAGCCAGGTGGATGATGGAGCAGGAGATTGGTGAAGGGTATGCGATTGTATCACATGGGGGCCTTGAGGCCCTGTTGTGCAACAACGAGGCACTGCATGTCACCGCCCGTCGAGCTCCGCCGGGACAAAACTAGCGAAAACTGCCCGTTTCGGGAGCCTTCTTTATCAAGTAGCATAACCAAGGTTTTTAATACGCCCCGCTCTGCGACGGCACTGGCCCTGGCGTCGCCGCAAGGCTGGTTGCTGGGCGTTGCGCCTCGGCCAAGGGAGCATCATGGCGGGCCTGCAGCTTGGCCGGCATGAGCTGACCATCTGGCCCACAGGAGGCGTCCGCGTCGCACAGTCAACGCGGTCGCTGCAGCCGCGACCAGCCAAGCTCCTGATGGCCTGCGCCTTCATGGGGGCCTTCGCCGGCGGAATGGCGCTCGCGGCCCTGACCGCCGCCGAGCGCGCCGCTCCGCTGCTGGCGGGCGCCTACCGCGACGCCGTGGCCGCGCAG